TTCTAGTTCCTTGTGTCCTTTTTTTTAAATTAAAAAAACGCCTGAACAGATCCAAAATTATTTCTTTCTTCTGTAATCAAACGCTTTGCATGCCTTATGTAAGCATAAAATTTGAGGTAAAGAAAATGAAATTCATGTATACTGAATGAGAGAATCTAAATTTATACCATTTTTACCCCCAGATTATGCAAAAATCAAAGAACAGGGCCATTCATGTGTATATTTTTAATGATGGGTCTCAGAATGACAAAGAAATTGAAGTGTTGGATCAGTCAACATTTAAGCACAGTGGTTTGTAAATTCATCGCTGTGGTAACTCCACTGAAAAACTAGTATATATCAGAAACAAATTTGTTGATTGATTATTATTGATTTGGTTTCTAGTACCACCTGTCTTTATCTCTCTGGTTTTTTTTTAATAACAGCTTTTAATCTCTACTGTTCACTAATAAAAATATTTTAATAAGAAATAATACTGTAATCCAAATGCCTATAGGTGCTTGAATCAACTATCTCTGCCCATGTAATTGCTAACACTTTGTTCAACCCTTTTTAGAATTGCTATTAAATCTCATTCTCATTTTCTGTATTAATAGAACAAGAATTCATTTTTAGTGTACCCTCAAAGCAGTAATGAGCATTGTTAACATGTAACAACAATGCCCAAGGGGAAAGTTTTCAAAGCCGGTCTAACCTTAAGGCTTCGCTATTGATGTACTACAGAGTCATCAAGCCAAGAGCTGTTAGAGCTAGTCCATTTGGAGAGTTCAGCTGATTATTTCTGCTTAATATATTGGAAGAATTATAAATGGTTTAGGTGGTGACCTAGGGAGAAGGGGGAGGTTTTGTTTAATAGCTTAAGAACAGAGGGGGAACATTAAAAAAATAACTGTACCTCCTGCTCATTTAAAAGTGTATCACATTGTGCTTTTGTTCTGATGATTTTACTTCCATACAGATTTTCATAAGAGGTTAATGAGAAAACATTAACAAGGCATGCAGTATTGCACATGGGCAGGGAAGCTGAAACATAGTTATTTAGTTATAAACAAACAATAGATGTTGCTTTTTAATTGCTTTTTCATAAGCCGAGTTCTGCCTTCTTGAAGAAGTGTTATCTATCCTATTAAATTTGGAATATCATCTTTATTTTATTTATTATGTATAGCAAAAATAAACTTGTCTAAAGCAGTAGTCCTTCACTGATTTCAACTGAATGCCTTGGTCACAAGAAACCAACCAAGACCCTGTAGATTGCAAGTCCTGTATGAGTTGTAGTTCAGCAAAATGACTTCATTGAGTGCAAGAATTTGAGATTGAGCCTTTAGGTTAGCTGAAGGTAGCAGAAATGGCTTCAGGAGTCTCTGTTTTGGGTACAAATTAAGAGGCTCAAGAACAGCGTATTACAGCGGTGATACAGAAATAACATAATTTTCATTGCATTTTTTGAGGTCTTGGTTTCATTACTGTGAAAAGTATAAGGGTGCGTTTTCAGGTTTCTACAGAGACCGATTCATATGCTGTTCCAAAATCTGAAACTCTGTTGGGAAGCAGGAGTAGAAATATTCTTTCTTTGGAGCTCAGTTTGTCTATGAAATGAATGCATAAATTGTTGTCATTAGCCGTCTTGATTCACAGCACTTGGTCACACCATTGCCCTTTCCTTGGGTATAAGCTAAAGGTCATCATGTCCTAAAACAACTACGAAAAGACAAGTTCAATAATGTCAAAGCTCAAAAATATTGACAGTCTAAGAAATGTGCTAGAAATGCGTGTTGTGTATTTCTGTCCATTTTTTTGAAAGGGCGGGGGAATATAGGAGCGATCTTACTGGTTAAATAGGATTCAGACTGCTGCAATTTTGTACGCTACATGTTTTTCACTTTAGAGCTGGGCCTGATATTGCTTTTCAGTAGAATAGTTGGTTTGTGTTGCAGGAAGGGATTTTTTAAGGGGGTACACTAACAAGGGATCACTTATAAGATTTTATTTGTTGTTTGTTTGTAATTCTCAAAATGTCTTAAATAGAGGTGAGATGTTGAATCTGATAATAGGACAGAAGTTTGTACAAAACATGAATGAAGGCTTTATAGCTTTTTTTCCACCCCTCCTTCCAGATTACTCCACACTATACTGAGTGCTTCACTCTCTTGAGGTATATCTGTCCCTGAACTGAGAATAAGGCGTGCATTTGAAATTCCATATATTCCATTTATCACCTAAAAATGTGGCTTTCTCCTGGGCTGTTGCATAGGGAAGTTCATGCCTCTGTGCTTATTTAGTCATCGTCTGCTTTGCGTGCATTGTCGAAAAGGTGGTTAATGACAATACTGGAAGGAGGAACATGGCTTCCAACACATTTCTCAATGACCATTGAACAGGTGTAAGATGGTACGGATTCTTGGACACCATGTTGTGCGTGTATTTCATACAGTTTAGTTCTTGCAATTCATTCTTTGGACTTCAACAGAAGATTGAGAGCTATATTTGAGGCAGAGATTTCACTCTCTTTTCAGGGTAAGGATTCCGTTTGAAAAGTCTTCCCGAAAGGCTCACAGAAATTTCCAGGAGGCTCAGTCCTCAACAGGCTGGTCCCTGTATGGCCTGTCAATGATCTCCAGTTGGTTCAGGACTGCTAATGTCATGTTTACCTTTCCTTGTGGACTAGACATACTCTCTAATATCTAATCTATAGATTAGCAGAAAGCTTGAACCTTTCCTGCTCAATGGCTGTTTGACTTTCTTTTTCCCATAGTTGCCTCAATTTGTTTTGTCATTTTTTTCAATAGAGAGCAAAAGAAAAGCAAAAGCTTTCCCTAGATCTGCTCTGTCACCACCGGAGTCCGATTATGTTTGAGCTGTTCCCCAGTCGTGTATCCTATTTCTTAAACAACTGTTGCCCTTCTGATATATTAATTCATACATAAAGCTGGCTTGGTTTTCCTTGAACTGCCTGCTACAGTTCTTCTCCGGTTCACACAGACCCTTGTTCCTTTCTCCCTGCTGGATTTAGTCATCTTTTGAAAGAATGAATGGATATGAACTTCAGCTGATAAATACATGCATTTGAATCTGTGACTGATTTGTGGCTGGATTGTTTTTGATGACTTTTATCTGTAGTTGATTTGCATCTATTTGGCTCAGACTCGCTGGGGGTAACACACAGAATAAATGAATAAATAATTTTGAGGAAGAGGCAAGGAGAGAATGGATGAATGAATGGATGATAGGGAAAGAGAGGGAGACTAAACAGAAAGAGATGGATAAATGGTGATTAAGAAGTACAGAAAAATAAGGAACAAGCAGTGATCAAAGTAGAGAAAAGAAATAAAAAGGATTCGAAACTAAAAAGAATAGAAACTCTGAAAAGAATAGAAAAACTGAAAAAGGAATAAGTAAGAACTCGGTGCCTGATTGCACCCAAAAGAGCAGAAATGGGTTACTTTTAATTATGTGAAAGGGCTAGGATTGTGCGTTAGCAAAGGGAAGAATTTCTACAGGGAACCATGGGACAATGTCTAGGGTTGTCCGAGACTCATATCAGTAAATCCTGCCCATTTGATCAAGTTCAGTTTTTGCTACAGGTCTGATGCACTCTGAACTCACATTAGCAGTGTCTCTCTACCTTTTGCACAGCTCCATGTGGAATACTCCTGTAATGAATCCTCATTTTCCTGTTCCAACTTGCTGGTTTGGGTTAGCATTTCTTTGTGCCCTCCAATCTGACCTTTGTTCTTTTATCAGCGTATACAACTAACTGAAAAAGAACAGCAAAACAACTAAGCACCACTAACAAGACTTCTTAGACTATTCATATTGAAGCCCCCTTGTGTTGTCACATCCACTTCCATCTTCCTGCATGTTATCCCTTGTCACATTGCATCTCAGAAGCTCTGTTAGCATCTGCAGGCAGAGAGCACCATCGTTCAGTGTTACGCATTACACGTGCACTGCACAGCACGAAAAGTACGTAGCATGAGTCTTTGAAACATACTGTGAGCGAGGACAGAAAGCCTTTACGTTACGACATTACCTGCTCTCTCAGGCCTCTGACTTCTATTTGGCTTCACCTGAATTCATCTCTATTCACAAAGCAGCAACAATTGCTGCTTCTCCTGCACACCATGTTTATTTTCTCCACTTTTTCTCTGGAGATCAGGGGAGCTTCCAGGCACTGCCAGTTTGCCTGTTTTCTCTCTGCTTTTGACCTCTGTCCATTAAACTCTTACTGTAGTACTTAACTTTAAACAGATGACTGTGATTATAAGTATTCACATGCTAATAATCAAATATGTGTTTAAAGTGCCTTACTGGCTTAGTTTTGAAGAACATTCCCACCATGTATCTGCTTTGCATCTATCACAGAAAGGGTTCTTAGTCTTAATTGGAGCTTCTAGTTGCTAACGGACAGTACGTTACCATCAGTATGTATGTATTTGTATTGACTGTAGTGGTTCCCCAGAAACCAACTGAGAGTGGTCTCCCACAGTAAGTGCTAAAGAAAATTTTGTCATTCCCTGTCTCAAACACCTTACAGCCAGTGCAAACAAGGCGAACATAGCAAATAAGGTACAGAAACGTAAAATGGTAACACAGAGACCATCATATCAAACATAACATGAATTTCACAGGGGTCGATGCATATTATAGGTGGAGATGCTGTTATGCCTGAGTTGTCTCAGGAAAGGAAAGATTGCCCAGTGGCTCAGACAAACCATGAAGATTAGCTTTTGTTCCTTGTTTTGAATCCCTGGACACACAGGGAAGCTGGGACATTTCTCATGGTGACGTCTGTCATTCATCCCCTGAGGAATGAGTCATGAAAGTTGCGACAACAATTCTTGTCTTGAAATATACCACTGTGCTAAATAAAAAATACCCATCAGAAGGAAAATATATTATCTGCAGTAGGAGAAGTTTTGGGAAAATTACTTATTTATTGATGATGTCTCTCATCTCTCCCCCCCCCCCCCTTTTTTCTTTTTGTTTCTTTTTTACAGCAGTTGTATGCTGCCCAACTTGCTGCGATGCAAGTGTCTCCAGGAGGCAAGATACCTGGCATACCCCAGGGTAACCTTGGTGCCGCTGTATCCCCTACCAGCATCCACACAGACAAGAGCACAAACAGCCCTCCGCCCAAAAGCAAGGTACTGTACCAAGCCCTGCAGCATTGCATTTCTGACACTGTGGGTACTTGCATGTGGGTTTTTTTCTGAAGGGTACCTGTGTGCCTCTCAGTTGCAGTCAGCTGTGTTCTCAGAATGGCTTCCTCAAACAGGAGAATATTCTAGTGACATTTTTCCAGTGGGAGGGCCTCGGCACAGTAATACCAAACAAACATTCATACACCATGTCAGTAACAGACACCACCTCATCCAGGATCCGGTGGGTTCCCTTGCAGTGCCCTAGCTATCACACTGCTGTTTCTTCCATCTTCAGTGACAGGCTGAGGTGGCCAGCAACTCGTCCAGCACACAACTGTCGTTTCCTTTCAGAATGCTAAACCAGAGTCAGGTTAGCAGCGTGTCAATGAGAGGTAGAAAGCAGTGGGGCACCTCATCTGTAGCCAGATCCTGTCCTAGGGTTCAGTGGGAGGTTGTAGAGGAACAAGTCTCCAGAGCAATGTCTGTTGTGTCATAGAACAGGGCTGCAACCTGTCCGTCAAGTGATGGGCTCTGATGAGTAATGTTAGTCATAGCTGGGCAGTTAGGTCCATACTCATTGAAGAGGTCAAGCTAGCAGCTTGTAGTCACATCTGTCTGATGCCACCAGTGTGTGACTAGTTATACCTAGAAAAATGACATGGAGTATGTCCAGTGGAAGAAGATGAGCTCAGTGTAGGCCACAGCTGAGCAAAAGTAAAGGGTGAAAATTGAATGGCTCATCTTTGATGTTGCAAAACAAATAGGAAGAATTTCGCTAAGGAATGCAGGGAAAAAACAGTTCCATTTAGGTGACAGGAAGAGCTTGATAAAAATATGTCCTTTCTTTTTGTTAGTGTCCTCTGCCATGCCATGCTGTCCATGTCCTTTATTGTGTCAGAAAAGGTTCCTTGAATTGACAGTAGTGTCTTGTTTTCACCCTAACAGTAAAACAGCACAGATTAAAAATAACCGGACAAATAAATAATGCCATTGTCAGCACAGTGAGGTACATGTTCAAAGCATAAAATAGGTGATGTGGAACCAGTAGCTGTTGATGAATCAAACTCTGGGTCTATCTACATTTTCTTTCTTCTCTCCTCAGTGTAGACTTTCTGACTTCCCAAAGTTTATCCTTGGTCTGGTCTCTTCTTTTATGTACTGTAGAGCAAGGAATCACAAAGCCATGCAGTGCTCAATAATAGTTCTGATTTGTTTTTTTCCCCAAAAGTTGTGTCTATGGTTAACAAGGGATTTTTGTGCATTTTACAAGGGTTTTTCTGTGTGTGGCTAACGGCTTGCAAGATGCACTACACTTAAAATCATGGTGTTGTTTTTGGATCTCTTGAGCACAAGCAGAACATCTGATGAGATCTAAGGGGACACTATTTATTTTGTGGCAATTGTGGAATTAGAAGGCCTATCGTATCTACCGGTAACATCAAGCATAACCATCTTACTGACAGCTGTCAAGATCAGCTGTGTTATCCCTTATGTTTTACTGCTTTTTCATATTTGTAGGTGTTCCAGTGCCTTTGGCTTGCAGTTCTGTAGGACACAAACAAAACTTATTTGCAAATTGGAAAAAAAAAAAAGTGGGCCAAAAGGAAAGGAAGGGGGCTCCAAAAGGCTGTAAAATTGTGCAGCATGAGCCCTGTGATGCATGCTGTTTTCAATCTGCTGCGTGCCAGTTGGAGGCTCAGAGAGAGAGCGAGAGAAAGAGAAGGGATAATGCTGAGAAATGATAGAGTGGCTGTGACCTCCAAGCTCAGCCTGGAAATCCAAGACATTGATTTCA